CAAATAAATAAGTCGAAAGACATATAAGTGCGACAAAATTAAACATATAAAAATACGCTAATAAATATATAATATACACACTTTTTCCGACCAATCATGCTACATAGCCACCCTCCATTACAACATGGTTTACAACCATGTGTAATCGAGGCATTGAAAAACGTGCATTATTGCATTTTTAATACCTCCATTACACATGGTTGTAAACCATGTTGTAATGGAGGGTGGCAAAGTAGCAAATTAGATATAAGGCTTAATCTTATTTTAGTTATAAGAAGATGAGCCTCCGGCTACCTCGACTCATTAAAGTTACTTAGTTGAGGGCAAAAAAAATTAAAAATTGATGCCATAGGTTGAATTGTTAGGGGGTGATTGTTTATGTTTTGAATAGTAAAAAATCTAGAATTTTTAATTATGGTTAAGTTTAAGAAAAAGTGGTATGGTTAGTTGTTAGTGGGTATATTAAAATAGTATTTAAAATAAAATAGTTAAATTTGATTTGATGTAAAAGTAAGAGAAAATGATTGGAAGTGATAGTTAGTTAAAATTAGTTAAAATTATGTGAGTAGATGAATAGTGAATTAAAGTTGATGTGATATGTAATAATGATTTGTTGATGTTATTTAATTATATAATAATATTAGAGATAGTGTGGTTGAGTTAAAGTTGAGTTAAATTTGAATTTGAGTAAAAAAAAATCACTGTACAATTGGTAAACAATCACCCCCTTAATGATTAAAGTTTGCTGAGTCAACCCAAGAGCGTTTGGATGAGATGACTTGGGTCTCTTCCAGCTTAACCAGTGGTCTCGAGTTCGAGCCCTGAGAATGCAGCAGTGTTAAAACTCTTGAGAGAGAGCTTTGCCGCCCTTGTGGTCCTACCGGCTCGATTCCGGATTAGTCGGTTCCCTTGTGGATCTGGAAACCGGAAGGTCCCTGTACCAAAAAAAAAAAAAGTTTGTTGAATCAAGGCGATGCAATTGCGCTTGCATATATATATATGAACTGTTGGGGAAAAGAAACACACACACACACAAACTGTCTCTCCAAAAGAAAGGAATTTTTTAGTCCACGCTTGAGGCTAGACAATTTCTGGTTGGAAATTTATTCCCTTTCCTGGTTTACTATCTATTTCTTCAATTTCTCTTCACCTCCTCTAAGAGGGAAGCTAGAGAGAGAGAGAGAGAGAGAGAGAGAGAGAGAGAGAGAGAGAGTTTTTAATGGAAAGATGGCAATTAACTTCTCTCTGCGGGCTTGCATTGTGGATTATGATTTCGTCAATGTTAAACGTTACTCAAAAGCTCAGATTTTTTGCACAGCCATGGGTGACTAACCGCGTGCTCTCCGACACCCCCACTATCATCAAGATCCAGGTTTGTTATGTTTCTCTGCAGTAAATTGTTTAAAGATTGAAAATTTTCGATTTGGCATGATCTTGGATTATTATTATTATTATCAACATTTTATCGGGTTTTGCAGAAATACCAGCACCGGCATCTCGATGCCTTGTTTTCTGGGTTGTCCTGTGTTGTTTCGGTGCCTTTCTACACTGCATTTCTCCCATTGCTTTTCTGGGTATGGTCTCTCAAATCCCCCCAAGCACATTTTGTAAAGCTTTTCTCTTTTTTTATTTCACACATGTTCTTGGTTATGTATGTTAGACCGGGCATTGTAAATTGGCTAGGCAAATGACTCTCTTGATGGCCCTTTGTGATTATATCGGAAACTCTATAAAGGTATCTGGCGAAATTCGCTCCTCCAGTGTTTATATGTTTTGATAACTTTTTGTCCTCTTTTTATGTTATCACTTACGATTGTCGTCATAGGATGTGGTGTCAGCACCCAGGCCAAAGTGCCCACCTGTTAGGAGAATAACTGCCACTAAAGATGAGGAAGAGAATGCAATGGAATATGGATTGCCTTCTTCTCACACTCTTAATACCGTGTGCTTGTCCGGGTATTCTTTAGATACGCTTTCACTTTTGCTTCTCTATAATGCATCTGTTTAATGCGCTCTTGTAACTAATTTACTGATATCAGAACTTATGGTCCGTTTATCCAGATACCTGTTAAACTACGTCCTGACCTACACAGAAAGCTATGACGACTCTTTTATAGTGTTTGGTTTTGTGGTAGCTTGTTTGTTTGTAGGTCTCGTTGGATTGGGTAAGTCTGAATTTGCTGCATAAATCTTTTGTTTTACTTAATGTTTCTTGTATTAACCGAAAGTTTGTATTTCTAGGAAGGGTATACCTTGGAATGCACAGCCCAATTGATATTATTGGTGGTCTGGGTCTGGGACTGGGGATTCTTGCAATCTGGCTCTCCATATCTGAATATATAGATAATTTTGTTGTTTCGGGTCAAAATGGTAAGAATATTAATTCCTTTTAGTGATTAATTTCACTTTCGACTTCATTTGAATGAAGTCCAATTTTTTGTTGGCTTAAGCAAATAAAATTCAGAAATGTGATAGTGTGTTAAAGGGATGCCTATCCATGGATCATTGCTTAAGAATGCTTTGAAACCGTTAAAAGATAAACGAATTACTTGCAGTGTTATCAAATGGCGGCCATGGCGGCGCCATGGCGGTATGGCGTGGCGGATTTTTAACAATCTGCTATGCAAAATTTGTGAATGATGGCGTTCATGGCGGCGCCATAGACCGCCACGGCGGCCGCAATGGCGGAATTTTGGCAAAACGCCATGTACCGCCATCCGCCATTAATAACACTGATTACTTGTGGGGATTCTTGCAATCTGGCTTTCCATATCTGAATATACAGATACTTTTGTTGTTTCGGGTCAAAATGGTAAGAATATTAATTCCTTTTTGGTGATTAATTTCAGTTTCGACTTCATTTGAATGAAGTCCACTTTTTTGTTGGCTTAAGCAAATAAAATTCAGAAATGTGATAGTGTGTTAAAGGGATGCCTATCCATGGATCATTGCTTAAGAATGCTTTGAAACCGTTAAAAGATAAACGAATTACTTGTGGGGATTCTTGCAATCTGGCTCTCCATATCTGAATGTACAGATAATTTTGTTGTTTCGGGTCAAAATGGTAAGACTATTAATTCCTTTTTGGTGATTAATTTCAGTTTCGACTTCATTTGAATGAAGTCCACTTTTTTGTTGGCTTAAGCAAAAAAAATTCAGAAATGTGATAGTGTGTTAAAGGGATGCCTATCCATGGATAATTACTTAAGAATGCTCTGAAACCATTAAAAGATAACGAGTTACTTGTGGCTGACTATAAAATTATGGCTTGGAATATACATGTTATTTTTCAGTATGTTACCCCAGTGTTAGTTCAGATATCTAAGACTGCAGAAGTCTGTTATCTGCAGTTGTGTCATTCTGGGCCGCCCTTAGCTTCCTGTTACTCTTTGCTTATCCAACTCCTGAATCTCCGACTCCAAGTTTTGAATTTCACACAGCCTTCAATGGTGTTGCCTTGGGAATTGTAAGTGCAGATCTTCTTATTCTTTCACAAGATTACATTATCCGCTGGAGCAATTGAATGATCTTTCAACTAAATCAGCATTAATATATGTAAGTTTATGTCAATTACTTCCTACAATGATACAATCAACTTAAAAAGACATTGGCTAATCTAAAAATTTATAATTTGTGGATATTTATAAAATTGTACTGATTTCTGCTCTCTTATGAAAATTTTACTCAATATTTGTAAGAAATATTCATAGATTTCTCTCTTTCCTCTCTCTCTCTCTCTCTCTCTCTCTCTCATCTTCTTATTCTTTCACAAGAGTACATTATCCGCTGGAGCAATTGAATGATCTTTCAACTAAATCAGCATTAATATATATCTAAGTTTATGTCATTTACTTCCTACAATGATACAATCAACTTAAAAAGACATTGGCTAATCTAAAAATTTATAATTTGTGGATATTTATTTATAAAATTGTACTGATTTCTTTCTGCTCTCTTATGAAAATTTTACTCAATATTTGTAAGAAATATTCATAGATTACTCTCTCTCTCTCTCTCTCTCTCTCTCTCTCTCTCTCTCTCTCTCTCTCTCTCCGTCCCCCCTCTCTCTCCCATTCTCTCTCCCCCTCTCTCTCTCTCCCATTTTCTCTCCCATTCTCTCTCTCCTGCTCTCCTTCCCCTTATTGTTTCTTGCAAGTTGCACTGAATGGAATCATTTTAATTCAGGTGACTGGTATCCACCAGACGTTCAATCAGTTCCACCATGAAAATGTGGCCCGCGTATTTTCCCATCAGTTTACTTTTCCTGCATTCATGGGCAGATTGCTACTGGGGATCCCGACAATCTTAATTGTTAAGTTTTGTAGCAAGGCCTTCGCAAAATGGATTCTCCCTATTCTTGCATATACTTTGGGAATCCCAGTAAGATCAACAACTTATGTACCAACCTTAAATGCCATGGCGTCCGATAAGAAATTGGACAAAATAAAGCAATCAGCCTATCTCCAAAAATTCTTCTTTTTCTCCAAGCAAACCTCGTTTGATGTTGATACTGGCATAAGGTTCCTTCAGTACGCTGGTCTGGCCTGGTCTGTCGTTGACCTTGTTCCTTCTTTGTTCCTTCGCCTCGGTTTGTGATGTTTGGAACATTATGCCAGTATCGTAGATGAATTAATCTTTTCACTATTTTTTTCCCTTTTCTTTTCTGTGGGTTGGAGGATAAAACTGGCACGCTTTATGACTGAGAATGTAGCTTGTGATTATGTGCTTATTGTACAGTGACTTATTCAAATTTTGTTGCAATCCATTGTTCAATATTAATGGAAGCTCGGTTATTTTTGTTTTTCCTCAATGTTGCAATATATATAATTCACTAGAGCGGCATTACCTGAAGATGCTTAATAATGCTAAACATTTTATTTTAGTTTCTCTTCATTTTGTCTCTTTTGCCTTTTAATGCTTGCATTAACTTGTAAGGCTACTATGAGCTGTTTAGAGCAACTGGGCATGTTTATTTATTCATTAAGAACTTTGAGACTTGGAAGATCATACACAATTCCGTATAAGTTTGGCATAAACTTATAACATACCATGTCTGCTTTTACATTTGTTAGAATGACGTACAGCCTAGTTATACTTCTTACAGATGCTTTGTTACTTCTATAGTTGATTTGCAGATACGGAAACCACTTTTTTTTTTTTTTTTCGAAAAAAAAAAATTACTGAAGCTTCATTCTATCTGCTCAGGCCCCGTCCCTTCATCACATGCCTCCTCAAACCTGGAATGTGGACATTAGTGATATAATCTTTCCAGTCTATTTTCTCGACCTCAAATCCAAACTGCTGTCTTTCTTCTTTCGACATGAATCCCATCAATCTCTCTGTGTTGCTGTTGTCAAACCTGCCAATTTTTTACCATTACATTTGTTGCAAATCATCTGATCACACGACACAGAATCAGGGGTGGTTGGAAAAATTACCTTTTCTAATTTATCCCAATTGCAGAAATTCATGGTACCTTTCAGAATTATAAACACTCATTTGAAATTGTAATTCTAAGAGTTCATCTCTGTTTGCTTTGTAATAAGGCTAAATCACAACTATTTTCCGGTACAAAAATACTTTTATCTAAGCAAATACTCCCTTTAGTGTAAAATTGGGTGCTTGCAGTTTTGTAAAATATGTACTTGTGTGTAGGAATATTTGCGTGTAGGAATATTTGCATCTCCAGTAGTCAGTTGGGAAGTTTTGTGATCATCCTTAACTCGAATGTAATCTTTGTATATAACTTGTGAAGTTTTTTCTTTTTTATTTTTATTCTTTATTTTTTTTACCTTCCTCCATAGAAAGTATAGGACTGGTAGATATTGGCCAGGTACTTGGCTTGTTCCACTGATTTTCTGCAGATGGGTTCGAGCTTCAGAGACAGTTTTCCATCAACGTCGGTTAAAGCTCCTAATCCAGTTCGATTGATGGTGTGCCTCCACAGGTGAGACGAGAATTCGTCCATGGAGTTAAAAAGCTTCATCTTGGGGACACAAACTGGACTGCCCGTTGAGTCTATAAAAGGGGAGGAGCTAAAGTGTTCGTACACCAATTTGGCCAAGTCCCTGAAAACTAACGGGTTAACAACGGATGAGGCCACCTGGTAGATGCTGTGTTCTGGCTTTCCGGTCCACCCGTGCTTTGCCATGGCTGCCAACGTTGCGTTCACGACCATGTCTGCTGGGACCTGACACAAACATCGAAAAAAATACTCTATTCATCCATATCACTTTTTTTTTTTTTTTTT